TGTGCAGTTTGAATCGTCCCTCAGAAATTTCAGCAATTCCTGCTTTGAAAATCCTATTCATGTTTTTAATGAGCACTTAGATTTCTAGTATACCTTCTCGATCTATGGACTAGAAGGATGCAAATAAGGAGAAAGTCGAGGCAACGAAGAGACTAATGAAGAATACAAATAGTAAGAAAATAAAGCAGGGGTATTATGTAACATCCCGAGTATAAAGACAAGAGTAAACACATATAGGTTACATCTAAACCCCAAAAACTTGGTGTATTTAAATGAAATAAATCAAGTTGGAAAACAAAAATAACAGAAGTTTGGCTTCCTGGGATGGATAGTTAGATACCCTTTACTGAAATTTTATTAAGATATTCCTTTACCAATAATCATAACTGTGATTCCACCATGCTTTACTAACATAATATATTCCTTAAATTCATGAAAGATACTCTTAAAAAAAGATTCATCAGAATCTGGATGAAATATATGCCATGAAATAAAGCTTTTAGTGAAGTGCTGATGTGATTAGTATATGATCAGGACATGAAGGGCTGCAGAATATTCTTAAAGAATGCAAAGAAAGGTTGCAATAAGAACATGATTACAACAAAAGAAAAATTAACCATTACTTTGTTATTGTGGGAGTTTACTAACTGACCAAAAATTTTTCATGCTTTAATTAGTGAGTTGCTTTTAGACAGTTAGCAATTAATTATTTTTAAAGTTCAAGTTTTAAAATCTCAAAACTACAACACTGAGCCATTTGTTGCCACAATGAATTACTTTTTCACCGGCAAAAGTGACCATTATTATCATCATCAACATCATCATAATTGCAGTGAAATAAAAATAATAAGCTAATGCGACTGGTAAAACCTACCACACTCTCCAACCTTGACTTGGGGAACATTGCATCGGGAGCACTGATTTTCCCATTATACTGAGTTAATGTGATCTGGGATTGCAAACTCCTGAATGACTCGGGAATCACTGGACACGTTGCTGAGAATGCCTGATGAATAAGAGCCATTGCACTAATCCCCAGTGCCCAAGATACCAGAAATGCCATTAACTGCTACCTCCTGGACAAAATCTGGGACTCAGAAATCTTACTAGTGAGCTTCCCGCAAATGACCCCGTTCCGAAATGTGAAACCCCATAGCTATGTTCAAATGTGAGTCCCTCAGGTTACTTAGTGTAGCTTTGAACATATTTATATCCTAGCAGATGCATCTGATCTAACAAGTAAAACACTCCTATTACCAAGTTACTTGATGTTAAGATTTTCACCAAATATTCTGTCTTAGCCCTTCCCTTTAACAAGGCTGCCTATGTGAAATGCATTCCTGACCTGACAGACACCCTCGGAATGAAATAGACAACACAATTTTTTAATTTGATAGTATGAGTCATCAATATTTTATCACCTTTAGTAATTTTCCTTGATGCCTTCATTACAGTGGTAACAAATAACAAAAGAATTAACAAACATAGGAACGAAAGCCCTTAAGTCTAATTAATCTTTGTCTTATTATATCAAAGGCATATGCTTCTGTTACAACAGCCCTTTTATAAAACGTGATTAAAATGGGAGATATGTTAAAGATTAAGTAAAAATTTTAAGTGAGGCTAGATGGCACATTCCCAATAGCCTTTTATTAGCAGATTAGATGTGCACCTAAACAAGAAATAATATATACAAATAGATATCAGTATAAACCTTACTTATAATGCCTATTTACCTACCTAAGCCCTCTTAAACTTTGATACTGAGCAAAACTAGCATATCTTCCCAGTATTGCTATTCAATTTTTTAATCTGGACGTGTCTCTTAATATTGAATGATAAGAAAAAAGAGTTCTTCACCTCTTTTTGGTGAAAAGTTTTTAAAACTTTTCTTAGAATTGTTTAGAATCATTATCATCTGGGGAATGTAAGAAGAACTGGATGGGAATGAAAGAAGAATCAAATGGGAATTAGTGACTTTATACTAACCTTCCTTGGTTATACAATTAAATTTCAATACAATTTCAATCTGTGTACTTGCTGTTAGCATTCTGAAATTCACAGTCCCCCTAAGAAAGGTTGCCCAGAGAAGTTGTGGATACCTCATCCCTGTCAGTGTTCAAGACCAGGCTGGATGGGGCTTTGAGCAACCTGGTCTAGTGGAAGGTGTCCCAGCCCATGGCAGGGGGACTGGAACTATGTAACCTTTAAGGTCCTTTCCAACCAAAATCATTCTATGATTCTATGAATAATCAGACAGCAGAATGGCAATATTCAAAACTATCTTTCTACTCCCCCAAAAAGGAAACAATTAAATGTATATGACTGCCTGAAATCTAATGAGTTATCCAACACTGTCACAGAAACAGTTTCACATTTCACACATATTTAAAAAGGTGTAACTTCTTCCAGTGTAGTATCATCTGTACTGATAAGGTCATTCAAACAAACCTTACCTACCTCTAGACACCTCTCAAGACATGGTCATTTGTCATTTTTATTCATAGGCTCTTTCTCAGTTTGTATTCTCCATCATTGTACAACTGTAAATTCTGTGACAGGGAACATAATTTTCTGCAGTTTTACAAATATCTAATGTTTTCTGATGCAGGCTATGAGATGATTTAATACAGAGGCAGTCAACCAAGCAGGCAGGCAGCTTAGCAGGGCAATGCAGCAGGCCACACATGGGATTATCTGTCCTGGGGCTGTCCTGCAGCTGCACTGGATGCTGGGCACACAGCCTCTTTCCAGATGCTATCTTTGGTGGACAAGGTGAGACAAGGTAAATTGCATTGCTGAGGAGCATCAGAATGAAGGCACTGCAGGAAGTAATCAATTGTAAGATAAAGATATTCCCAGAATCATCACCCTGCCCATGCACAGCAGGGATCATGGCACAAACCTCTCCTCCAAGGCTAAAAGCATATAAGTGGTTAACTTATCAGAACTGAATACCATTTTGTTGCTAAATCCTAACACATGAACTATAGTTTTTCATCATGAAAAACCCAAATCACATTTGCCTAACCTGATTTTTTTTTTCTTTTTATGTTAGCTAGTGAAATGTATGTCCAGTGCTCCGTTCTGTTCCTAAGCTCTTCTCATGCAACAACACGGTAAACCCGCACTAGAAAGTAACCCATGCTTTTTAAGTAGCAAAAAAACCCCAGAAACAAAACAAAAACTGATACCAGAAGAATGCCAGAAAATTGATGGAAACCCTTGAAAAGTGATAAAAGATGGTATTTAAATAATGAGGGAAAAACCCAAAACAAACGCTGTGCGGAAACTTAACACTTAGCAAAATGATTAATAAGGAGGAGTCTAAGTACTACAAGAGTCCTGACACCCAGAAGCAGTTTAACCACACATCTCTGACACTATGTCCTGTGCCAGCTGAGAGACTGATGGGTGGCTGACAGATGCTACCCTGCTTCTTCCTTGTTAACGTAGTGATTTTTTCTCATTTTATCTGAGATCTGCACGAAGCAAACAAACTCCTCCTTATCTCTTACTGACAGGTAGGGCAATGCAGCTTCTACAGTGCATTCATCATCTTCTTCTTCATGGGGGTGGGGAAAAAAAATCTCTGCACCGCCTAAATTTGGGATCAGTGAATAGTTTCAGAATTTGCATGTTGCATTTGCTGGTGACCTGGCATCATCTAAATGGAGATGGCCTATGAAATGAAAAATTGGATATATAATTCTGTCTTGTTCCTTCCGTGGGACTCATTTTTGCTCATAGCAGATCTGTATAAAAAGGGAGGCTTGCATTTCATCAAGATAACAACATTGAGCACATGCCAGTATGTTACTGAGCCTTCATGCAGGAGACAAGACTTCTGAATAACAAATTAGCTGCTCTTTTCCTGAGTTAGGTCTGAAAAACTAATTTGATAATAAAATTTGCCATAAGAACAAGTGGCTTTAACCAGAACACAGCCTGTACTACATCTTTTAAGCTGTTGTTAAAAGATGTAGTACAGGCTGTGTTCTGGTTCAAATACCAATCTGGTTCTGAATAGGTGACCAAAATATTTTTGCTGCTTAGGACAGTACCCTATGCTTATTTTCCTTGCTGTGCAATTTTGCAAAGAACACAATTATTGAGCTGTCTATCTAACTCATTAAAGATTGACTCAGGTATTGAACACAATATACTTAATCCCATAGGATTTTTAACAATATCAGTGTAGCTGACAGATAAAGACAGTTTTCTTTCTGATAGTTTCCTCTAAATAGGAATGGAAATAGTCACAGTGACACAGCTGAAACCAGAGCCACGTTCATGTTTCTAGGCTGAGCTACAAGGATTAGTAACTGTCATTTGAAGTAGTGCTTAATAATGGAGTAAGCAGGTTGTTCAGTAAACATCAGTCAGCATTTAGTGATTTGTACATTCAAACCAAATTAGATCTTTGCAGCTTCCAGATAATCTTTCAAACAATCAAGTATCTACAGAAGGGCTGTTGTATCGGTTAAGTCCCTTTTCCCATGACCATCCTTCTCCCATTCACAATGTGACAATATTAGATCACCAGGCACCAACCATGTAGTTCCCCCACATAAATGGGGAAAGCACAGAGGGTGACACTGGGAATCAACCATCACAGTCAAACACAAGAGAGTCTGAACAGACATGGCCACGGCCCCCTCCATGGCATGCATTAGAGAGCTGGGAAAGGGACGACCTCAGGGTTTCTTTGAAAATGTTCTTTCCTAACCCTGCACCATTTTTCACTACCAGTTCTCCCAAACTTTTCTTCTTCTTCAGGCGCAAGTCCACAGTAAACTCCATGGATTTACATCCATTTAAAACATACTCCCATTTTAGGATTTAGGATGTTTATAATCTTACAGTAAGCAGAGAGTTCACAGTAAATCCCTTCAGACATGGACTGGGTTGTAAAATATGTTTGTGAAGTTTCCAGGACCATTAAGTCACTCACCATTGCTAATGTCCTACTTACAGACGCAGCAGTCACAAACACTTACCTTTGCAAACAAAGCACTTAATATGGAAATATTTGTTCTGAACTCTCAAAACTTCTCCTTTGCATGGGTTTCCACAGGTATTGCAGAGAATTGCAGTACTTGACGGCTTCTCCAGTTGGCTGTGCACAGCCTGTGGTTGTGAAACTGCAAGAGAAAACAAAAGGTAGAGCATTGTAAGGGCTATTAGGTGCATCTTCTGTGAGATCTACAAATAATGACAATTAACACCTGGGACAAAACAGATCAAGCAAATAAAACAATTTCAACTTCTGGGGTTGGCCAGCACAAGAGTAAAGATCTGCTAAAGCCAAGCCTCGCATTACATAACTTTCAAAGGTTCTCCTTGCAAACATTTAAATAATAAATCAGAACTGCTGACAGAGGAAAGAATTCACCTGATCAAGTCTTGGGAGCCTCCACCCGAATTTCAGAAAAAACTGCTTTGTCATATTTTCTCTTCATGAAGTCAAAGACTATAGATAAAAGCTATTGTTTTTATCCAAAGTATCCTTAATGAGGTTTAGGAACTCTTACACTGTGAGCTACTGATCTTTAAAGTTCAAGGTAATTGCCTTCTTAACTGACTTAAGGACAGAAATATACTTCTGTTGATATTTTGAGTTCCTACTTCTGAAACACTGACATCTGTGCAAATATCACATATCAATAAAGAAAGGTTGCTCTCATTTTGTAAGAAATCTATGATTTCAAGAGATTAGGTTTATCTAGGTTAGCAAAATATTAAGTGAATTAAAAATTTGCTGCCATCTTGTGATGCACATTAGATATTGCATTTATTTGGCTGTTGATAACACAATATAAGTTGGCATCCCAACATATTATGTGGAAAAGGTGAGATATGACCTTATTCTTGCAATTCTGCTGCAGTACTTGCATTAATTTTTTATCACAGTGTACTTAGGAGTTAAGATGGAAAACATCAAGGCAGTTAATTATAGAGGGGCTGTAACTCAACAGACTTGGCTTTTTTCCTGTGTGAAGAACTAATAGCAGGAAAATAGATAAAGCAAATGACATCTTACAAAGCAAATTACATATTTAATGATGCTTTTCTTCTGTAATGTGGCATGCTTATTCCAAGGTTAGATTATTTATTTCAAAATGACTGAATTTGTTTAAATTTTAGCTTCAAAATAAACTTATCAACCAACCAGTCAAGATGGAGCAACCAGTCATAGGCCAATACACTAAGTATGACTGGGAATCAGAGAAGTTTCCCTTCAGGGTTTAGTCAAGGGATAATGCCATTGCTGTGCTACTCTTTTACCAACATCCAAAAAAAAAAAAAAAACAAAAAACCATTGGGAAGTAACTTTTTTGTATGAGACTGCTGCAAAACAACTAATAAATTTATAAGAGGATGGATTAAACTCCGACTGGCCAAGATCTTTAGTTTCTATTCTTATTGTAATATCAGAGTTGCTATTTCAGAAAAAAAAGAGGGGGGAAAATTTATTTTAATTAAAAATCTACTACCAACAAAGCATAATGTCTGTAACATCAGCATAGATAAGGGTGATATAGAAAAGCAGGGATGGTACTGTCACTTAGAACACACACAATAACAGACAATACTATAATGAGTGAGCTCCTGCTCTTTAATATCTGACCTTGTTGATCTTCCTTCTCTACTCTCCCCTCATCTCCACTGCCAGTATGTTCTGCAATTCCTAAAAGGCCTTTCCACACCCACTGAGTTCAAGGAGTCGGTATTTCAGTGAGATGCTGAGTCTCCCCTTCCACCCAGTCTTCCAGGGCAGTTGCTGCAAGTTTTGCCCAAACTGGCACATTCTACTCTTGTATGTAAAGTGTTTTTTCTCAAGAAGATATATGGGCTGAGCTGCTTATAGCATCATTCACCACCCATTAAGATGCTGCCTTGTTTGCTGAAATTACATGTTCTGGGATTGTCAAAAAAGTCCTGCTCAAGGCAGTGTGAACTTTGGAGCAGTTACTGAAGTTCTGGTTATAATTAAGGACATGTCCAATAAAAACAACACAGCATGACAGGCAACTGGAAGTTTATAGAAAGGCACATGCCCAAATTTGCACAGAACAAACAGTGCACACGGTTTGAGCTACTATGAGGGTATGACTTATTCCTCAAAAGAAAACAGAGGAAACTGCAAACTTTGTAATACTTAACTTTTGACATGATAATTTCTCTTTACTGTAATCTGCCCAAAACAAACTACCCACCCTGAAAAAGAATCAATCCTGTAAGAAACAAAAATAAGGTATTTTCCCAAGTTAGTTAACAGAGCTAAAAGTTTGTAACTATAAATAAAGAAGGTTTACTCCCTCCAGAATTACTAACAAGCATCAAATTTGTAGCATATAATTCATGAAAGACTTAAGAAGAGCTGACCATACCCAGACCATTTTGGCCTATACAGTTGCATAGGCAAATATAAAATTCTGATTGGAACAATTAAATATTGACTTTTCTTCACACCCAACTCTTCCTATGTCTCAGCCTTTCAGAACAGCATCTCTCCAGAGGCATCCACGCCTAGTCCATTTAGACAGCCACCAGTTCCTGCTGTGGTGTTTCCCACAGGCTGGAGTAACCTGGCCCAGGAGACCCAGCACTGCACACAGCATGTGCTGAGAAACCCAGGGCTGGAGAGCCCCGAGGGCAGCCCACCACAGCAAACATACCCCCCTTCCCCAAAGTGACAACAGTGTCACATTCCAGAGAAAATGTCGCTATTGCACCTGGGAGTTCAATGCTGCACTTCTTGCAAAACAGCGGAAAACTAAAAATTGTTGCAAAGTTGTTTGGTTTTTTTGGTCTGTTTTGTTTTCTGAAAATTGTTGCAAACTGAAAACGTGGCAGAAAACAGAAAGTTTTGCTTTGCATGATGTGTTTGGTGCTCAGTGTCCAGAGCTGTAGGGCAGGTCAACTTCACATATTTCCTTCTTTTAGAGTCTCTGAATTGAGGTTTAGAATTCAAAAAACCCCAACAACTCAGCTATAAAATAAATTAAAAAGGAAAATATGTAATATTGCTTTTGGTATTCTTCCATTAATCTTGAAGTAACACAAAGCATATTTAAAATATGCATGGGAGACAAAGGAAAATTATTTTGCTTTTCTCTCTGTTCAGAACTAAGCTACTTGATATTTCACACAAAAACCCAGTAGGAATACAGTGCCTTTGAGATCATTACAAAGTGGTCCTTCTGAAGACAGTTTAAAATACTTATTCTTTCATCTAGCACAACAAAATTATATAATTAATGAAATGTTAGTTTATATTTTAAAATACTGAAACTTAATATGCTTCATGTTTAAATTGCAGCTGCTGACAACTTTGAGAAACTAACTCTACTAGTGAACTTCACATTTTAACTTATGTTTCAAATCATATTTAAGGAAACATGTTTACATGGCAATTTTCAGCATTCTACTTTTATGCCTTTATGTATCAAAATCAGTCTTTGAAGCAGCAGAACACACAATCAACATATTTAATGAGTGAAATAATGAATTTCTGGCAGAATGTAATGATCTGAGCCTGGTCATCAGATCCTAACTAAAGAGTTCATTAAAAATTAAATGCTTACATTATATCCTAATTTGTAGAATTTAATGAAAGTAGAAATTTCCTTCTTAACTTTAAATTACTTTTTCTAAACTGAAATACAACTGAATGCCTGATTCTCTAAATTTCCCTTTCGCCCATACTACATACGATATTCTGCTCTAGCAGGTGTATCCTCACCAATTCACCAGTCCTTAAACCCTAAAAAGATCTGACTGCACTCATTTTTTGACAAGGACAAACACTGGCAAGAAATGAAGGAGCAAACAGTTTCCACAGCACTTTTTTTGTGCAAGACTTGTCTGTTGGGAACATCATTACCAATAATCTTGCCAACTGTCCAGCACTCACACATCTCTGATGTCAAGACTCAGCCTCTCTTCAATAGGCTACACAGTACATCATTCTGCAGTTCTGGACCAAGTAGGGCTCATTAACTAGCAATGGTTTGTTACAAATTTGTCAAACAAGATACATTCCTTAGACTTACTTCTATACTGCATACTCAAGATGTGCACTTGCTGCAAGTATCATGGGGAAGGGAGGACAGTGGTATCACTTGTTATTAAAGCTGCATTACACACCTTATGGCCACTGTCAAGTGAAGTTTTCAGTCTGATTATAACTTTCACAGATTCACAGAATTTTCTGAGTTGGAAGGGACCTGCAAGGGTCATCAAGTCCAGTTCCTGGCCCTTCACAGGACATCCTCATGAATCCCACCACGTGCCTGAGAGCTTTGCCAAACTTTAACCATTTACTTAGATATTACTCACATTTTGTGTTTTCAAACTCATTTCTTCAGGGAAAATTTCAGACAAGCTGTTTCAGCTTTTTGTAAGGATGAAAAAAGATAGTATACAGTATATTGGTTTTCAAGGTTAAAAAGAAAGCATACCACAATGTTTTTGAAAGTACTTGGAGTAAAGGTTGTAGTCTGACATCGGTGAACATTGTGACAGGCACACCGGATCCATGAAAAACCACAGTATGTGGTAAAAAACCCAACTCTTTGAATAAGCCCCTCTGGCATTGCTAGACTAAGTAGGATTTAAAAGCGGGGGGGGCAGGATAAGGTGCCAGGGACGAGGACAAGATTTGGCTGAGACAGGAATGTTTTGGAAGCAGTACAAGACAAGCTGACGGCAGTGACAGAAGGGAGAAGATTCGGGAGTCCCTGGTCATGCTCTGTTTGGGAGCCTGGGATAAAAAAATGTCATCTCTCTGCTGTGAGCAAAGTGCTGAGGGAAATCAAACCCTTGGAAAAAGATCCAATCTAGGAACGGTCTATGCAAAGGATGACATACCCCTCTGCTATCAGGCTCTCCAACAGCCAAATGAAAAAAATCTTCATGGGAGATTACAGTATGGATGAAGAAACATGGTCAGAAACTGCAGAATTCAACATAGTTTTTCCAGTTCGGTGCTTTTTGTTTTTTAACTCTGCATAAGAAACTACAGAAGCCATTACTGAGCTTGGAAATCAAGTACTGAAAATTAAGAAGTATCATGCTTAAGAATACACATTTAACCTGAGATCAAATCTCAAATATGAAGTTTAATAATAAAGACTTTCAACTTCTTTGTTCACTATATGGACACTGTTACGGCCACATATCCCATTTACTCCACATTATTTAATCCTGTTTTGAAAACCCAGTTTATTAGATTTATGGTTCTTAGTGACTACAGAAGCCTGAAATGACAGAGGGCCAAATGACACAATTTAATATTAGAATCTCAGTATCCTCAAATGGGCTGGGTTCAAAGAGACTTTAAAGATCATCCAGTTTCAACCCTCCTGCCATTGGCAGGGACACATTCCACTAGACTATGTTACTCAAACCCCCATCCAACCTGTCCTTCCGTGATATGCTCATTTTAGAGTACTTTGATATAAACTAAGGAATAATTTGAATGGAGAGACAACTTTCATGTGAATAAATATTTTCTTCCTAATATTTACAATCCCAAAAATTACCAGTCAATTCAGGGAAAGGCATAATTCCTCACCACAGTTCCTGGAAGGATAGAGCAGAACCAGAGCCTAAAGGCAACAATATAAGGAAAACCAAAGGGCTTGGCAGGGGTTACCTCCTCTGTTCTTTTTGTGGGTTGTTCTGGGGGTTTTTTATTGTGTTCTGGAGGTCAGGTTAAAAGAGTGCAAGCCTTTCATTTCAGGTTCATACAAATACAGTATCATTTGCCTTTAACAGCAACTCTCCATTAGCAAAAAAGCTACATTGATTTTCTTTAGCAACTATCAGAACTACAGGCTCCTCTATAAATTCACAACCTATTACATTTGCTTCATCTGATGAAAACATTTTTTTGAGGGGAAAAATACTAGAAAGACATTAATATTTAAAATTATCGTTATCAGCTGTTTAGTTCATAATAATGTTCAGCTTTTTCAACAAAGTCAAAGGCCACATTCCAACTCTGAACCAAAGATGCACCGCACTGACAAGGGATATTATTCTGCACAAAAGAATTATCAGCAAATTACCTCTGTGCTGACACTGAAACCTTTCATCTCTATAGCTAGAGGTGGTTACTAAAAATGAAAACAAACAAATATGAGACCCAAATGCCATTTACTCATTAAGTATTTGAGAAACAGGACAGAAGTATTGATTGGGGACATACTGTATCAAGTGATTTGGGAAGGGTGGGGTTCACAGCAGCCTGAAGGGGAATTAATTTTGCAATCTTCCCAGAGAAGGATTAAAGTAGAAGCAGACAAGTGGGGCAGCACCCATCTGGAATTAGAGATTGGAGTTTAAATTGTTGTTTTACCAAAACCTTTTTTGTGTCAACTGAGTCAAAACACTCAGGGTCGAATTTAAAAACACACAGATGAAAGCAAAGGAAACAAGCATTTAAGTGCCTCTGAATATCCAAGTGAAGCATTACTCCTGCTAGCCCTGCTCTCTCTGCCCTGTCTTGTGCCTGTGTGTAAAATTCAGTGAGGAGGAGTTGTGATGGTGTGAGGCTAAGGATAACACAGAAGTACATAATACATGCAGTGTTCAGAAAATGACATGGGTGTAAGGGGATTGGGTTTTTTTTCCCTAAGAACTGGTGATTGATTATGGAGCCTTGTGGGGGGGGCTGAGACCTCACTCGTTTTTTCCACAGAAAGGATGAAAAAAAAAGTAATTGTGTAATGGGAACTCCATAAACTTCCCCCATCCATCCTTCCAACTGCACTTGGCAGTGGGGTAGAGTGATTCCCTGGCCCCAGCCCTTCCTGATCATGCACCTGGGTAGTGAGGGCACTGCGGGAGGAGGGAGCACAGTGTACCCAAAAAGATGAGCACTGGCCTAAGGAGCGGACGTGTTAGATGTTCTACATCAGCACATTTAATAACTAGTGGTAACCTGGTTTACCCTATTTCTCAATTAGCACCTTGTCTTAAATGCCTTTTCAAATGTGTTTCCCCACTTTAAGGTGCCTTTCCACTGTAACATAACGCTCTGTTTTTCCAAATGTCTCACAACAAAGCAGCAGAACACAAGGATAGAGGAAAAGCTGAAGAAGTTTTGCCCTGAATTGTCCATATTATGTAGTCCCTCAAGCCCTCCAGCAGGACACACAGAGGGCTGAACTGTCCCCACACCAGCAAGTTCACTCCCCTTGTCCAAAATCACAGAATAGCGTGGTTCAAAAATCATGTTCTTTTTTGAAACGTATACCTGTTTCTACTACCCATAAAAAGGCATGCCTTTTCCAGCACTTCTTATGCATCATCATCAGAACAGAAACCCTTGGCTGACATAGGACAGCAGGCAGACAGCACAGCTGAGGCCACCTCCGCTTTTACTGCCAATTACAGTTTATGGGACCAGAGGCAAAGGAGAGGTATTATCCAGCAGAATGTGAATACAACCATGCACAAAAGACGCAACACAGCTGAAGTATTCAGCACACAGGAGCTTCAAATCTCACCATATGCTCAGTGCAAAACTCACATCACATAAACAAATCCAACACAAGCTAACCTCCTGCCCTCATTATTATAATAAAACACTTACTGAATCCAAACACGGTTAGTAAAAATCCAAACACGGTCTGCTGAATTTTAGTAGCCGCTACTGCAGCATTGTAAAGACTATTCTTGTATGGGTTTAGCTAGATTACAATGAGAAAGGGTATAGAAAAAGCACTCAAATATATCTGCATAAAGCAATAGGTGGGGTTTTTTTCCCCATTATAATCTTATATAAACTCGAAAGTCAAATTAAATAAAATGAGGAAAGTTTTCAAATTGAGCTGTCTGTTGAGTGCCAGAATCATTATAATTTCCAAATCATCATTCACATAATTAAAAGAATACAAAGCATAATTTAAAACAAATGTTTAACCATCTTTCTCCATTCTGCTGTGTTTCCACATAAACACAGAATAATTATTCTCGTGACAGTATCAGTGATTTAGTTACCGCAGCTCCAGATAAAAAAACAAGTCATTTCAGGTCTAGGCTCTCCAAAATGTGGAGTCATCACACTGTACCTGTATCTTCTGGCATTCCCACACTAATTCCCTTCCAGAGGGGAAACGCCACCAGGAGCACCGCTGCAGAGTGGCTGGTGGCAGGAGCTCAGCTGGTCGGTGGGGAGCAGGATCCGAAGTTGTGTGCCGTCACCGCTCCAACACCAACACACCCGGGGTCAGATGACTCCTGCAACACCCACGCACTGCCAGGAGCCGAGCCAACACCTCACTGTCACCACCATGTAAAAATAGCATCCTACAGAAGCCTAAATATTGTCACGTCCATGGGGTATGCCACCACTGGCAGGGGCCCCGAGGGACCGGATGAGGGATGTGCCAGCAAGGGGTGTGTTTGCACGAGGTGATGCCACCCCTTCCATAGCTGCTGCAGCGTGGTACTGGGCACCTGGGGAAAAAGGCTAAAAGATGGAAAATTTGCAAAATCCTTGCCATAAATTGAAAATATGGGCTGAGGTAGCGGGGAAACCCCTCTAAGGTCCCCCAAGCACAGAGGTCCCTTCCCCCTGGAGCAGGAGGCATGGTCCTGATGTAAGAAGGAGATGATGTAATTAGTGAGATGCTCTCACTGTGAGATACCTGGCAGGCAAAAATCTCTCCCGATTGTTCATGTGGAGTTGGAATGTGTATCACTGGAATAACAATGATGTGCTGAGCTATTTAAAGCACTACATGGGAACAGAATGAGCATTTCTATAAGGACTTTGACTTCAGAAATATATATGATGAGTACACTACTGCCCTGGGCCATGCCAGACATGGTCTGTAACTTTAAATAGCCCCCAGCTGACATGGTGAGACCCAGGGCACAGATCTGAAGATCCCAGGTTCTGCACAATGAATCAGAACTATGAATTACTCCATTTAAAAAAAGTCTTTTATATGTTATCTTGCAGCAACTGACTTTTGGCAATATTTGATTTCGTTCAATACTGTTGTGCTGCCTGTGTGAAGCCAAATCCATCTCCACACTCTTTTGGATCACCATCAGCCACCCTGGCTGAGCTCTCCAGATACTGGCAGGATTTGGCCTACTTAGTTTTTCCCAGCGGCTACTTCAGCTTGGCAGAAACACAGGAGGCACTTTGCTAAACAGCAATGCTCTGAAGGCATGTAAATTAATAGGAAGGAAAAGTGAAAGGGCTTTCACTCTTACACAGCCCTTCCCTCTGCTCGCCAGGCTTCCAAGGCTAAATGCTATGTAACTTGCATTTTGAGGTTGTACCACCGTAATGCAGTCACACAGTGCACTAATTTGTATTTACAGTTCTAGGTGTGATCCATGAGCCTCCCCCGCGGTCTCACTGCTCGGTTACAGCAAAGCAGAAATCACACTTGAGGAGCTCCGAGGGTTTTGATGGTGCTTCTGTGAAACTCCAGCACAACTCATGAGCTTCACAGGCACAAAGCACGAGGCCATTGCACTTCATTAGTGTGATGGGCTGACCTGAGGGAGCGTGACAAGAGACAGCAGTGACAGCAGCACATGTGAGAGCTCAGAGACCTCCTGCTGCAAATGATCCAGAAAGCAGTATAGCTTTAACCTGATTTCTCAAATCGGTATAAGCCAAACCCCCCTGTTTTAACAGTAATAACAGCACATTGCCCTTGCTATGGAAAAAGTCAAGACACTTGGCTCCTCTTACAACCTCAAGTCCTGATAGCCACAGCACTGCTCTCACCCATCCTGTGTTTTAGGTTTCCTTTCACCAGGTTGACCCAGGTCAACTCCTTCACCAACGTCTTTGCAAACAGCAATCAGACAGCTTAGTGGTGAATTTAGGCCACTCTGAAATGGATTAGTTAGCTGCAACATCTTTATAGTCTGTGGTACCATGGCTATAAATAGCATTTTAAAAAAGATTTCAGATCCTTTCCTAATTAACTCGTGCTTTTTTCCTGTATTCACTGCCCTCTTCCCAGTGAAAGCTAAAGTGAATGTCAATAGCAACTGGACTGGTCACATAGTTTAGTTTTAGGTAGTTCCTATGAGGAGCAGAGAGTTGGACTTGATGATTCTTGCAGGTCCCTTCCAACTTGAGATATTCTAGGATTCTATGATTCTTTGAGGGGACAGTATATAGTCTAACCATGTTCCTGTTCCTCCATGCTCACACCACTTCGCTAGACCTATTTTAAGCTTTTTCCATAGTCTATCTCTGAAAATATGTTTTGGAATGGAAAAAATGTTTTGGAATGGAAAAAAATGCTTTGGAACAATGTTAGAGTTTTATCTTCACTATGGAACAATGTTAGAGTTTTATCTTCACTATAAAACATGAAGTGTTTTCTAACTAAGAACTTTTTTAAAAAATCAGTGATATAACACCACCTGAGATTCAGGGACTTTGCAATATACTACAGGTGTGTACCTGCCTCCTAACAGCAAAAAAACTTGTCCCTGGACTTTAAGTCACTCACCAAGTTTCTACCCAACCACATATATGACTCTTTTAACTGCAAATGGAGACTACAGAGTCCAGTCTCAATAGAGATTAAGAAATTTACTTTTCATAAATAATCTATAATTAATGAATTTTACTTTGAAAATGCTGGAAAATACAAGAAATCATATTTCACAGATTTTCTCAGTACACTTTAAGATGTCTTTCCTTCTAAGTTGCAAAAACTGGTTATCGTGCTGGTTATCATTCTTTTCGCCTTCGGTAGTTTTGATCCACCTTAGTGTTCACTTAGAGTTTCTGTTGAGGATAATATGATCACAAACAGAGGTACTGAACTCTTCTCTCTGGTAACCAGTGACAGGACCTAAGGGAATGGCCTGAAGTTGTGTCAGGGGAGATTTAGGTTGGGTATTAGGAAAAGGTTGTTCACCCAGAGGGTAGTTGGGCACTGGACCAGGCTCCCCAGGGAAGTGGTCACAGCACCAAACCTGACAGAGTTTAAGAAGTGTTTGGACAACACTCTCAGGCACACGGTGTGATTCTTGGGCTGTCCTGTGCAGGGCCAGCATCTGGACCTTGATGATCATTGTGGGTCCCTTCCTACTCAGGTTATTCTATGATATGAAAAATGCAACAAAATTAAGCATATCTCTGCATATAGTGATACAGATTTTGGCAATACTTCATCACTAGGACAAAAATAAAATTAGGAAATAGATGTTTCCTTTTAACTATCAAAACTTATTAATTGAACTGATGTATTCCTAGCTCCTGTGTTCAAATTTGGAACTACTGCTGAATGGTCCTTGCCCTTAAGTACTTACAACACAAATAAGAGGACAAACCCATGACAGAAGTGAAAATCAGCAGTAAAAGGGTAAAGATTTATTATGAATGAGTTGGGTAAATGGTCTTTCTACAACTAAATTCATGTCTTCCAACTTTCTGCACAGACTCTCCTGCATCAATCCAATCCCTGCTGGGAATGGACTTGCAAAGTCACCCAACTCTGCCCTTGGTGACCTGTTGCATGTTACCAAACCCTGTCCTGCTCAAAAACTACCTGAGTTTAAACATCTGGCTCTCAAACACCTCCATCCTCAAGTCCATACATGAGAAAATATTTCTCATCAACTGCACAGCAATGAGCCTGTACATGGTCATCTCGAACAGAAACACACGCACACGCAAGTCAGAGAAAGTGGGCTCTTTGAGTACAAGGCACTGAAGTATAAGAACCTGCTTTAGCAGGGAGGTTGGACTAGATGAACTCCAGACGTCCCTTCCAACCTCAACCACCCTGTGATTCTGTGGCAATCCTGCATATTTATGAAGCAGGAAAAAACAGGCGGAGAATCCACTTTGAGCTCTGCATGACAGAGCAGGCAGCTGTGCTTGCTCCAGAGGTAACTGGGTCATAAATCCCTTTCTGCTCCTTGCTATCTCTTGGGAATAAAGAGCTTCCTTCAACCCTGAAATTCACGATGACAGCCCTTGTCTGCTGGCCAGCAAGTTGGATGACTGAAACCAGAACTTCTTCCACTCCCTACTCCTTTCTCCCAGCGGGGGCATCTCTACAGCAGACCTAGATGCAGACCAAAGGGTGCACTAGCTCCCGTTGCTCCCCCAACTAGAATGACAGCACCACCTAGTATTCTTCAGAAAACTGTACATGCAAAGTAGTGAGCAGAAATCAAATATAAAGCCTACAGACCCTTTAGCAGAGATTTTATAACAGGAAAAAGTGGTACATCAAACCTATAAATGGCGTGGAAGAAAACACTTGGAGAACTAAAAAAACCAAATCTTGTCTCATAACGAGGTGACAGAGTACAAGCATGCCCAGAATGTGGTCTGCAAAGTGACACAGGTCAAAGGATAAAGGGATACAGTCTGGTTAGCAGTGAAGAGACAATGGGAGCCACAGCGATGGTCCCGCAGGTCACACACCTTCAGAAATGAACCTGCCACACAGGGAAACCGCTGACCCTATGAAACCGATAGGGATGGCCAGCAAAAAATGGAGTACACATCAGATAAGAAAAAATCTGCTCAAGTAGAGGTCATAGGCTACAATTTAGCTCAGAAAAAACTGCCATGTAATAAGGATAAGGCAAGCAATTAACAAAAGGTATTAGTTTCTAAAAGGTCAGGCACTACAAGGGACTAACCAGAGAAAGGACTGCAGAGTACATAAGGGAAACTGTACACCTAGAGGTAGGCTGGGAAAGGCAACAGGATAATGGGATGTATTGTATTAAGGGAAGGTATCCTGGCAGCAACAGAAATGGGACTGTAACAAGAACCACCAAGACAAAAACTAGAATCTGAGTCCAGCATTTTATGGGAGGGAAATCAAAGAAGCAGAACGAGGCAATAAATGCCAGTTAGTGAGGCCAAAAATTGCACTTGGTAGGCATGAGAGTAGAAAAATTAATTTATAATATCTTTTAATACAGGAAGAACTAAACTAGAATTCAAATTTGACATTTAGGGGATCATGAATGGTGCAAGAAAGATGACAAGCACTGCAAAGATGCCAAGATAATTTTTGGGTATTTCTTCTCGGAGTAAATGAATGCATGGAGAAGTTTTTTAAGGGAGGATTTTTCCATGTGGGCTGATGCTACATGCACACAAAGAGAGAAAGAGATCACTAACTGTTAATTTATCATTGTTTTACATATAAAATTACCATTTAAATTGTCTGGAT